AGGGGCCCTTTTTATTTTATTTTATTTTATTTTATTTTATTTAGTATTTCAGACGATTGGCAAACCATACCAAAATGTTGGTATGAAGGTCAGGGACACATTTTCAAACGTGCATTTCGTTTGTACAAGGGTAATTCTAACCTTGTTCCGACCTATGGTTATTTTGAGTTCAGCTTGCTGATTGCCTTTTTCTCTCTAATGTATTTGCAACACTCAAATCAGCAGGAAAGCTGTCTTCCTGGCTATGTGAACGACGTAAAAGACTGCCAGGCTATACTCTACAATATAACGAAGATCACACAACGTTTGTTTGTAGATATAGAACCTATAAACTGGCGTCCGACAGAGGGCTTCACATGCAACAGACTTCTGTTTGATGAACGGTTGGTTCGTGTGTTTGACAAGGCAGGTGCGCGTTTCTACCAATGTCGCGTTAAGGAAAATTCGCAAACGGGCAACGTAACATCTGCCGTTGACACCATACTCTTTGAGTTCGGACGTAGATGTAGCGTACGTAATTGCTGCCTTAATTTAATTATGCAAAAAAGCTACTCCCCTGTGGCAATACGCGTACAGATATTAATTTTTAAAAAAGATAGAAATTAAAATGATGGTATATTAAGAAGGTTGTAGATCCTTTTTGGAAAATAAATAACTTTTTCCAGTCCCAATCTTTAGTATAAATGTCACCAAATAACAACATTTTACGGTTAATTTTTCGACATTTTCTTAGAAGACATTTTAGCGTTGTCATAGATTTGCACACACGGTGGGCTAGCTGGTCCAGCTTTCATTTTGGAAGACCTATCTTTAATTTTAATGACAATAAATTAAAGCATTTTAGACATTAGACATTTTTCAAAAATGTCTTGGGGGTGGACCCCCAAACTCATACCAGCGAAGGACCCCCTATCCCATGCAATCACCCCTACGCTTGTCCACACGCTAAGACTCAACACAAAAAGTAGTGTACACCTAATTTGACCCCCCCCCAAAAAAAAAAAAAAAAAGAAAGAAAGAAAGAAAGAAAAAAACACCTCTGACAGGGTATAAAATATTATGGCACACATATCAGGCATTTAAAAGTATTGATTCTACATAAATTGTCTTCATAATGCCATAACATAATGATGTTATCGCGTGCTTCAGAACTTTGCGTGTTGCTGGGTCATATGATTTATAACCTGTATACTTTGCTCAGCTACTAAATAAACTCAAAACGAAAGTAATACCGGTATATGCAGGCACATTCGATATAAAGGGTGTTCTGTTATTTCCTCTGCCATTGGATCATCTTTGACATTATGAAATGGTGTAATAAGTAAAGTAGTCTACCTGTAGCTCACTATTTCCTAAAGTGTATACCACTTACCTAGGTGATATATAACTTCCAGAACCCATGGTTTCGTGTCTGTACCGGTTCCTTACAAAGTTTTGGGTACTCCTTTGCATGGTATCCTCCCCGCTAAATTAAGATGATATGTACAGGTATATTATACGACAGAAAGTTGTTAACAAAATTTTTTGTTATAACAAGAAAAATCACCTTTCACATGAAAGCACCCCCATTGTACTCAAACGCATAAGAATATTTTGACAGACTTTCAAAGATGATCACCCACCGCTGTTTCCCAGCATCGTGGACGTGCATATATATATATATATATATATATATATATATATATATATATATATATATATATATATATATATATATATCGTTTGTAAAACGAGACACAACAGCCTAGTTCCGACCTGTACTTATTTAGGTTGAGCTTGCTAATTCTCTTTTCTCTCTAATGTATTTGCAGCACTCAAATCAGCAGGAAATCTGTCCTCCTGGTTATGTGAACGACGGAAAAGAGTGCCAGGCTATACTGTACAACATAACGACGATCAAACAAGATTTGTTTGTGGAGTTAGAAGCTATAAACTGGCGTCCGACAAAGGGCTTCACATGCAACAGACTTCTGTTTGATGAACAGTTGGCTGGCGTGTTTGACAAGGCAGGTGCGCATTTCTATCAATGCATCGCAAAGGAAAATTCGCAAACGGGCAACGTAACATTTGTTCTCACCGCGTCACTTCAACTGAGGGAACTTTTCTCCGACTACAGTCAAGTGTGCAAAATCGTCCCTTGTGTGCAGGCCGACATTGAGCGTGCTTTGACTAACATGACGTTTCATCTTGATGAAAAACCGATACAGGTACGTGCAAGATATAACAAAACGTGTGATTCCGATGTCACCCCTGTACCACGGCCGAAAATTCCTGAAATGACCACTTTTGGCATCTCCACCAAGACCAACCGCGGCAACTGTGGCACCTCATTCAATAAACTGGTGTTGGTCTTGACTTTGGTCGCATCCACATCGTTGTACTGAACATCAGACACTGAGACTAAACACGACCAAATAAAGGCAGTGAAATTGACAATAATATATTATTCAAACATTTTAAACGCCAAGTTCCACTTTTACATCTCAATGAAGTAAGCCCGAAGAAAAAGTCGAGGCTCAATCGTGTTGATACTTACATCTTCGCTCAATGTTGACGGTATCTTTTTTTTTTTTTTTTTTTTCAGACAAAAAAGTATAATTGAAGGCGTGGTATCTATGTATAGTGTGAACTAATAATTCTTTAAACACTTTTAGCCTATTATCGCAAAGCAAGGTTTATGTGAAATCGACTGTTTTGCAGTTTTTGGTAAGCCACATTGATGATCCAGGTGGAGATTGTTGATAAAACTTTGTACTTCAGTTGAAAATTGGTTTAGACTTTGATCAGGCCCGTAGCCAGGGGGTTCGGGGGGTTCGAAAGAACCACCCTTTTTGCTAGGAAAATGTCCACTGTGGGTAAAATTTGACCTATGTACTTGAGGACTTTATGGTAAAAAGTCCACTTTTTCAGAAAACGACCCCCCCCCTCTGAAATTGCTGGCTACGGGCCTGTTGATCAACCAAGATTCACTGTTGACTAACATTGAACGCTTGATAATGATTCAATTGTAAATAAATTGGAATGCAATGCCGACATAAATTCAAAATAAGGCCGAACTTTTTTATTTTTATGGATGACATCCTCTGGGGACCCCGAAATCGGTGCGAGAGGGCGAAAGAAAAAAAAAACAGTCCAAAAAAAAATACTGCTTAAGTAAATGCTGTCAGTACACAGCTGGAAACACAAATTTACCACAGAAACACGATCAAACTAGCAATATGTCTTTATCCATGCTCTCAAAATATTAAAGCATTGTGAATACTTCGTGGAAAGGTAAAAAAAAGTCATGAATGGATATGCTGTATATTACCAAATCTATTTAAGGTTATTTCATGCATTTTGTTGGTATAGCAATCAATAAAACGAATATAAAACAAACAGTGTGTCTTTATTTGTACTCTCAGAATATTAAAGCATTATGAACACTTCACAGAAACGTTAAAAAAATGATGCAAAGATATGCTTAATACTACCAAATCTATTAAAAGTCATTTCGGTCGATGCCATTTTGTCTACTTCGACTCACAAGAAGCAGCCAAACTGTCAGGTGGCCTGTCTGACCTTCAGCCCACCAAATACGTCGACCCTTTTTTCGCTACAAAAAAGCCTGGTATGTGCTGCTTTCGACAGAATGTCACTGAAATGTTCAGGGCGATAATTGCTGGCCGCCGCCAGCCTTTCGTATAATTGTAAAAAGGTGATATCTCCATGCCCAATATCAATGGCATACCAATCCAAAACGACGGCCCCCATTCTCTTTATGACTTTAATTGTCGTGTAATTTGAAAGTAGAGATGAATTTGACGGCAAAGCGGGCATATTTCCAAGTGGCGATAATACGCATGCGCAGAAAGCTCATTTTCCGGCAAATTCAATAACGACGTTTGCGACAACCGACTTCGTTGGGGGTGATTTTTTTTTTTTTTTCGGGGAACGGACGAAAATCGGTGCGCGCGCAGGATGTCATCCATAAAATAAAAAAAGTGTGGCCTTACCCACTTTAAAAATAAGCAAATACTATATTCAAATGTTCCTTCCCAATCTCTATATCTTCAATTATTTGTAAAAATCCATAGTAATGATACACCTTACATGCTCGAGAATATCGCCATTTTAGTTAATAGTGTTAGGTCACTTGTCCTATTTCTGTTGATTTAGGAAATCCCCAAGCTTACGGTGTGTGCTGTATGAGCGCCTTACTCTTTTTAAATTATGAATCCAGTCTCACAGCTTAACTTTATTTTAGGGTCTGAACCATTGTGAATTAAAAGCAATGTCTACAGTGTTTTCTACCCCCCAATAATACACTGTCAGTGCTAGCTCTGGCAGGGATTTAAAAACTTATCTACTAGTTGAATCAGCACTTCCGCCCGGAAGTTGCGACTCTTTTAGCTTACGGTACATTTTACAGAAGTTAAAAGTAAAAGAAAATCTCATATTCTTCTACAACAAAACACTGTGCTTAAAATTATGACGAACCGTACCTTAAGCAAGTTTCCCTTTTTAAATGTGAGCTCATCCTCTGCTGTCGCTTTGAAATCGTGTTTAGCTGTGGCCTCCATTTTGATTTCTAGAACAACGCTTCTGGTCAACTGTGTAGTCAGGCAGATCTAAGTGGTAAAATATTATACCAATGTGAGTCTGTACGTCCTACTTTCTATGATGTTAACAGCTAACTGTGTTCCTTTAATGAATAAGTCAGTAAAACATATAGCGTAAAATCCTGGACAAAACTACCGATGTCACATCTTACTGCAAGTAGTGCACAGGTACTTTATATTCATTCGCACATGTACATTGTTTTTATTTTCGATTTGTCATTCATATTATATCAGTTATTGTAAATGTTTTCAAAAAATACTATATTAAGGCGAAGTTGTGTGCAAATATTGTAAAAGTTCATATTTAAGCCTGGGTCTTCTGTAGTGCCGTAGCACTATTTACTAAAGCCTCTTCATGCTCTTCCGCATAAGGTCATGGTCATTTCTTTTAATCTCGGCCACTAAGAATGTGTGTCAAAAATACTGGAGATATGCTTCAAAAAGATTGTAGCTGTTAATTCATATTGAAATTTGATATTGTTCATTTTTTCTTTTTCTTTATCATTGCGAACATGGCGGATAAAACGAATTCTCATGAGACCTTTATGTTTAAGTTTGCATTATCTGCTGTTGCTGCTGTTGTGGCTGAATCTGGTAACGTGATTGGGATTTTTTCAGAAATTACCATACATGCATGTAATGCAGTGAATAAGAGTTAATACATGTGAATACGTACAACATTGTCGCACCTCGTCCGACTTTTTACGTATAGGCACATACAGCGTTGTCTCCGTGCACTTTTTCCATATGAAACGAAATGAATGGATATACTGGTAGTACATGTATAACCATTCCATTTTTTACCCTCAAATATGCTGAAGTGCGCCTATAATTACATGTTAACTTTACATTTGACAGCTTTTCTGTCTCTTTTATTTTTATCAAAAAGCCATTGCCTTGCAAAAATTAAAGCACCTGTACCTATACAGTACCTGTACCATTTACCGTCACAGTCTTTGATTTTGTACGTTTTTCTACATTCATTTGTGGTAGATTATTTTGATCAATGACTCCGCTATTTGATTGTTATATGTTTTATAAGAAATTATGAGCCCATTCTAATGTAATGAGAGCTGATTTAATTTCAGTACATGTTGCATATCCAAAAGTAGTTTGCAATTAATTTACAAAAGTAAACATGTGATTCATTAATTGATAACATAGATATTTGTCAAAGTTACCTTGTAACTGAATTTAGAAAATGCCATAGGTCAAAGACTTACATGTTTGAGGGTTCTTGTTGCAAATTATGATCTACGTGTTTATTTCAGTTACGTATCCATTAGACCTTACAAAAACCAGGTTACAGATCCAAGGAGAGCAAACGCATTGCCACCATGCATTCACCCATCAGGCTTCTGAGGGGGTCAAAGAGGCAGCTTCACACAGGGGCATGTTAAAAACTGCAGTTGGCATAGGTTTGTGAAACATGTATGGTGGTCTTGACATGTTGTCCTTAACTATTTGTGGAATAAAATATCTACAATTAATCAGTCGCATTGAATTATCAATTTAATTATTAGAGTTCATTGAATTAATTCCCACAGATTTTAGATCAATCTATCCCCTTGGGGAGACTCACTAGTGTCAGCTTAGCTGGCTTAAATGTCTGCCCTGCCTACTGAAAGCTGTAAGGGGGTAATTAACTTCTGTGCACGCTCGGCTGACAGGAATTTAGCATGAACCCCCAGGGAGTTAGGTCGATCCAGATGGATCAATCTAAATCTGTGGGAATGCAGTCCCAGAAGTAGAGCTGCTGGATAGTATGTGGATCCCATGCGAGATACCCATAACTTAACAGACTTTTTTGATACCTCAGTGGATCAACTTATAAATACAGTTGAACTATTTGCAAGCTGTAGGTGTACAGGTAGATGGCAGGGGAGGGAGTTAGTCCCTTATTTATCCAAGTCCAAATGGCTCAATCACAAGACACAGTATAATTTAAAAATTCCTTAATAATTCCATAGATTCTATATAATTCGTCTACGAAACTTCATTTGTTGCAACATATGTGTAAAAGTACTTTTTATGCATTTGGTTTGCAGTTCGTGAAGAAGGGCTTCCTAAACTTTGGCAGGGTGTTACACCAGCCCTATATAGACATGTTGGTAGGTATGGCTCTTATGAATGCTCATCTTTTTTATTAAGAAAAGTCATAAGTTATGTGAGCTACTCGTGCTGCATGAAAGATCATATATTCTTATATTTAAGAAATGTACTGTAGGTCCCTGATTTAAGGTCCCTGAATGTTTGTAAGATCATAACAAAACTGATCCAAAAACTATTGGATGTTTCACAAAATGTCTCTTTCATTGATATATATATATATAACAAGCGTGAGTGTGGAACAGAGTGCTCAACAGTCCGGAGCATTTGTACACAATTGCAATAAATAAATAAATAAATAAACAAAAGACATGCAATTAACCCCGACNTATATATATATATATATATATATATATATATATATATATAGTCCACCAGCTTCATCATTTTTCAGTTTTTGCATGTCTGTACATTTGACAGCTATGTTTTCTTGTTTTTGGCATGACACAAAAATCTGTTTAGACTAGATTCCATCTTTTGAGTTGGATTGTTGAGCGCAAAATCTGGTATGTCAACTCATTCATGAAAGCATATACAATTTATATAGTCACCTTAGTCCTACACATGAAAATTGTGTATGGTTCTTGAATATGTCTTTTTCATGTACTATTTGAATTTCATTTGTAGTGTATACAGGAGCAAGAATGGGGTGCTATGAATATTTGAGAGAAAATGTACTGAAGAAAGATAAAGATGGGTCATTTCCATTATGGTAAGAGTTAGTACTTCACTCTGAAAGGGCACGCTCACCAGGTGACTTCAGTTGTACATGTGTTCTCCTCTAATATTTTATACATTGATGATAGGTGGAGGTTGTTTTGATATTTGACTAGTTTATACCAAAGGCCAAAGCAAAATTATATGTACGGTTTACTCTCATTGCATGATATAATATCAACATACCCAGTAAGCCATGATGTGACAGTGTGTAATATTCACATGGGACAGTCAAACAAAGACTTAACTGATAAAGCCTATAACTTGTCATGCATGTATGACATTGTTAAGTCATTGCCATGCCAGAGTAAAGGTCTGCATCATACGGCATCATTTTTAAATGCTTTGCTTTTGATTCATGTTCATTTGCAGGAAAGCTGTTATAGGAGGTCTAAGTGCAGGTGCTTTTGGCCAGTTTATTGCTAGTCCAACTGACTTAGTTAAGGTCCAGATGCAGATGGAAGGAAAAAGACGATTAGAAGGCCACCCACCCAGGTACATATACTAGTACATGTAGGAATATTGGAATAAAACAGAGTGGAAGCTGGTCAGGAGAATCACTAAAGGTTCTTGGGCTAAGCTCAGATTGCAAAAATCAGGTCGCAGACTTTACAATATTGATCTAAGAGCTTTAAAGAACGATTGGCCCACAATTAAGATACATGAATGTGTCATAACTAAATAGGGCACACAGCCCATCACATTGAAATAAAGAATAAATAAAAAATATACAAGGCCTTATAGGTTTCTCTTTAAAATGTAACTGGAGCTGGCAAAGTCTAAGCAGGCTAAGTTTTTAGGCCAAAAATAACTTCAGACTTTTTGTGAAATGGGGCCCCATAGGAATGTTGCTAATAATCATACACAGAGCAACAGCTGTCATTTGCTCATTCTGTGCCTTCTTTTATTTCTAATACCATATGGATGCTTTGAGACATTACTTATTTTACATTTGTTGGTAAAATTTATACTTCGCCATATGAGAAATGTTTAATTTTCATGTAGGTTTCTTTGGTTGTGGAGATAATGACAATTTGTTTTGGATTTGATTTTCAGAGTAAAAAGCACCTGGCATGCCTTCTCCAGCCTAAGAAAGGAGGGTGGTGTGAGAGGCCTGTGGAGGGGCTGTGTGCCCAATGTACAGAGGGCTGCATTAGTCAACATGGGAGGCAAGTTTTGGGCTGTTGTATCTCTGCTTTTTACCTCAATGGTGACACCTTAAAGTTAAAATAGAGCAAGCTGTTGGATTCAGCAGGGTTTCTATATACTCAAATACTCAAGCAAAAGTTCCTATGGCTGTAAAAGATGACCATTTCTGGAAATCCATGTTTCTTATTAATCTTGAACTTACATAAAGATTCATAGGACTAAAATGCAGTTTCAGTTGGAACACCAGTCTAATTAGATTCCTTTTCTTGAGGTAATGAATTTTTTTTTTCTTGTGACTAAGAACTCCCAAGGGCCTGAAGCTCTATTCTAGTTACATTTTCTGAATATCCATGATACCTGTATTATATATATTTTAAAAATTGTTGATGATTATGCTGTTAAGTATTTTGTAACATTGCTGCGAAACTGATGAAACCCCCATTCTCTGCTTTGTCACTGTAAATTGTGAAGTTTTTTTTTTTGAAATGTTCCTATTTCACATATGGACATTTTTCAAGGTGTGGCTTCGAACATCCATTGATCCGAATTGATTGATTGATGCTGATTACATTATTTGATTACATTATTTGAATATTCATGTTACATGTGATACATAATCAAAAATCCATGGTAATAAAATAATACTCTTAAGCGTCATGTAAACTCAAACTCACTGGAATGGGTAGTGGCATTTAAATACAGGTTTAGTTTGAATAGCACCTTTATTGGAATTTTATATTGGAATTTTATTGGTTATCCTTTTTTTATGAAATTTTCATTTTTCAAACATTGGCATTTTTAAGATTAGACTTCAAACTGCCGTACATTGAAGCCCTTTACTTACTTTAGTAACATTTTATGTATTTCCACATAAACAAAAGTACATTATTAAAAATTATGTGATGTAACCTATTTTGTGCATCATTATTTTCTGCTTTTTGTCTGTACGTTTGACAGCTTCGCTTCCTTGTTTTAGATATTTTATATGATTTTCCATTGTATATTTCGTTTTGAAAAGCAGGTACGCAATCTCTTACACATGTTTAATGTTTGAATGGATCTTTATATTTATTTCTCTATTTTCAGATTTAGCAACTTATGATACGGCAAAACATTTCCTATTAAGGCACACAAGTTTACAAGACAATTATGTAACACATTCCTTAGCAAGGTGGGTTATATACTGTTATCAGGACTGGACTGGGGAGTGAGTGCATGTGTATGTGGCGGAAGTGTGTACTCTTTGGCCTTTGTTAAACCCCTTTTACACTGTGTCCTTTCTGCATCCTTTGTGCGACCATGAAACTGGTTAGGACGCCGTCATACGCTGAAAGAACGCACAGTGATTGCCAAGGTCGCACAAAGAACATACAAGCATCGCTGAGGACACCATGGACGCCGAGAAGTTTTGAGCATGTTCAAAACAATCGCAGAGAGAACGCGATGGAGGATGGTTGCTCAATGGACGCAGAAAGGACGCACAAGTATCGCCGTGGTCGCAGAGGGGACGCACAAGCATCGCTGCGGTCATAGAAAGAAGGCACAAGCATTGCTTTGGTTGCAGTATGAAAACTCAAAGATCCTCCAGTGTTCAGCACGTAGAACATTTTTCTCACTCTCGAATGGGGCCGTGCTGAGGTATTTTTCACCAGACAGGAATTCTAACGGCAACAGTGGTCTCATATCAGCCTCTGATTGTTTTTTCCCCTAAAATTCATGAAACGATCCATTTTTTTTTTTTTAGATTATTACAAAATGAATATTTTGCCTTTTTTACAAGATGCATTAATTGTCAGAACTTTTTGAAGAATGCATCATTTGAAAACAGATTCAAATATGTATTCTATGTTGTGTCAATCATACTTTCTCGTTTAAGGCGCCTGTCGATCCTTCTTATAATGATAACAATGAGCATCTGGTTGATTATATCAGTCCATGCAGACCTTGCATCACTATAGTTTAAAGCGTTTATTCCCACTTATTTGTTTTGTGTGCTGAAAATGTTCTTTATTGGATGATCTGGTTAGAACCGATGAAAAAATATGAGATAGACCACATTTTTGAACGCAGAAAGGACGCTGTCCAGTGTAAAGGGGCCCTTACCCTCTATCAGGACCGTAAATTCACTTTTTCCTTTGATATTCACAGATGTGTCTCAGCCTGTATTTCAACCTTTTTACATCAATATCACAAAAGGAATAGTGAGATATTAAAGATCTAATTTTTTTTCAGTGGGATGTCAGGTATAGTTGCTGCTTTAGTAGGTACTCCAGCAGATGTTGTAAAAACTAGAATTATGAACCAACCAACAAAAAATGGAAAGTAAGTTATCTGTAAAGATGTCATTCTGTCTTTAAAATTATCTAGGGGCCGCTGGTCAATTAAAGTTTTTTCAGTAGTCAATATTTTTAAAGGGATTTTTTAAAGAAAATCCCAATATTTATTTGAACACTTTGACTGATATATACTTGTATTTAACAATCATCTGGAAATCACTTTTTGTTCATGAAGTACAATTTTATATCACTCAGACTTCATAAAACTTCTTTAAAATAAGTTTTTCATTATGGATTTAATAGAAGCTAAATTCTTAACCTCTTACAGTTGAGAGCAGTTCGCTTCAAAGCTTTGCAGTGCACAGTATATACAAATGCCCAGTTTCCACAAGGCATATTTGCCTTCCTTTTGACCTTCTTAGTTTTGTCAGAAGGTGTATGATGCATGACTCTCACTAGCTCTCCAATTTCTGTAAATGACATATTTCAAATTAAATTCTGTCTTTCTTGGAGCCAGCGACAGTCTTAAAAAAATAGGTGTTACGAGGGTATGGTGTAAGCCAAGGATGTATGAACTTCATGTCATTTATTTTAGGGGCCTCCTGTATACCTCATCCTTAAACTGTGCAGTGAAAACTGTTCAAAATGAAGGCTTCCTAGCTCTCTATAAAGGCCTCTTGCCCATTTGGGCAAGAATGGTAAGTGCAAAGATCAGTAGTTGAAGGCTGATGGGATTTTTCAAGGTCCATTAATTGATCAAATATTACTGTTGATTTCTCTCTATTGACACTCCGTTAAGTGTTTTATCATATCTTCTTAGTTTAATTATCTGTATACCTCATTATATGTAAGTGCCCTCAGTATATTGTTTAATGGTGTGTTGTAAAAGCAATGAAAACTATCCCATTTATTATTAGACAAAAGAGGAAAATTAGATGACTCAGATGAAAAACAATCCAAATGTACATACATGTTTTACATACATTTGTACATTCCCTTTTTCGTATCTATCTTAAAGTACTGTAATATTGCACTTACAGGCCCCCTGGTCTCTTACATTCTGGTTAACATATGAGAAAGTGAGGAAAACTGTGGGAACATCGTCATTTTAAACCAAGACCTAAACTTTATCAATGCCACTGCCACGTGTCCTGAATGTTTCAACCAAGAGTTTGGAGAGAAGATTGGAGTATATGTTGTATGCTGTAATTTTCCACCTGACCTGAAATAATTTTTGTAGAAGTGAGTTACTTTCATACAAAAATTTTGACAGACGAAGTAAAATAATCAGAAATGATTCCAAGTTTGATCAAGATGTATGAGTCATTTTGTTTTGTGGTGTTTTGGTGATTATGCACTGCTGATTAGGTCTTCCAATCCAGTCCACCATGAAATGTCATATAATGCCTTGTTAAGTAGGTACAAGAATTGAGGTAAGGCCCAGAAGTCGTGATGGGCCTTTTACATGTGCCTTTACAGCCAAAGTAGTTGTAATATGATAATAATGGCTGTATAACTAAATTTGTTCATTTATCAAATTATAATTTTTTATTCCTCTGTTGACAAAAGATTGATTGTTTATTTAATGTTGAAAATATTACTATTTTTCTTTTATTGATTTGATATTATTTTTCCCTTGTATTACATTGCTTTAATTAATCAGTGAGTGCAATAAAAATAATATTCTTTCACACTGACACATTTCCATGATAAAGGTATAAACTGCTACGTGTGTTAAATACACTTTATACGAACGTGATTTTTTAAAACTATTCATACAAGATTGAGATAGCATGTTAAACTGCCTTATTTAAAACATTAAGGGTACATCCAAATTAAAGAGAGAGATATTTTATAATTAATCTCTTTACATTGGTTGTCAAGGTAGTTAGTACTTAAAAGTATTTCATTGATTTCAAATCTTGTCACTGTAATATTGACATGTACTGGTAGATCACTTCTGCATTTTGGTGAAATTTATTTTTTCTATTTGAACTTGTATCTCTTATATGTGCAGACTTTCACAGACCACTGTTATTATGATGTACCCTGATTATTTTTTCCAAATTATCAATGAGATATTGTAATTTTAGCCCTGTTAATTTTCTGTTATTGATTGGACTCTAAGAGGGGAAGTTGTTGGTAACTTTTGTTTTGTTTTGTTATCATTTTTTGCCCTTTTCAAGTTGTCAGGAATATTATATTAATACATAAGAACATGTTCAAAATGGGTGCAAAATGTTAATTTTTATTATACGTAACAAAGTTGTTTATTGATTGTGGAAAAAATTACAGCTTACAAATACAATTTATTACTGTGATACACAATTGTGGTAATTTTTCATTAAAAGTGCACTTATCAACTTGATTAAATACATGTAGTGTGAGAGCAATATTTTTAAGTTGCTAGTCTCACATGTTGAAATTGAAACATTAAGTTCTGATAAAGAAAATATCACTATGTATCACTCTGTTAGTATTACCTAATTACAATTGTCAAAAATTGTCATTTTCATTAATGAAATACATATTAGTATTCTTTTGATTAACTGAATTTGTGCCATTTCTTGTTTACATTAAATAAAAGATAAATAAACCATTTTTAAACAATTTGAAATTTTTTTTGTTACTAGCAAAATAACATTTCTTCACCTCTTGTAGAGGTCACAAATGATCAAGCATGGATGTTACATGTTGGCGTGTTTACTTCATCAGTTAACACATTCAATTTGATAACACTATCATTTCAACAACTTCTTGGTTTTCAGTTTTTTCAATTTAACAAATATGACAAAGAGGCTTTTTACAAAAAAATATTGTCAGGTGTGACCTTATGTTAATATAAACCTAATGTATAATACTCCACAATGATTAAGTTTTTCAGTGGTCAGGAGCAGGGTTCATGGTTGATACATACTATTTTTGTTGCCCCACCCCACATATGCACAAACAAAAAATAATAATAATGAAAAAAATTATTCTTAGTGTCTTTCTCACTTTCTGACGTTCTTATAATTGATATACTTTTCAACTCATTTGAATGCCAAGTAAAGATGCAAATTTTCACCTCTCCCAGTGCAAATGTAAAAGGGCATAGACTAAGATTAACAGTATATACTGGAGGGCTATTCTAAAGCGTTTTCCTCCCATTTCACATTTGCTTCTTTCTTTTCATATTTTTTTAAAAAGAAAAATAGTCTTACAAAATTGTGTCAGATGTTTACTGGAGATACGAGATGCCGTGCGGGATGCTAGATTGACCTTATTAAACCACCTAAAACATTGAAAATCCTAAGAATTCTCACAGCACAGAATCAGTATACATAAAGCAATTAATCCAAGCTAGGTTTAAAAATGCATTGTAAGTGCATGAATCGCTTCTTGTTGAACTTATCTGAGGACAAAACTTTTAAAACATACGTACATATACAGATAAATTGCCTTAATCAATATGATAGAAATTAATGATATTCACCGTCCCCTGTCCAACTCGGTAGTCAACCATCTTGATCCAGTTCGAAAATAATTTGGGTTCACTGGCAGCACTAGTTTTAACTGAGTCACAGCATGAGACTCTTGTGATACCCAGAAGACAAGTCACTGAGTGAATGGTGTATCTAAAATTGGGCGAGTGTCAGAAAAAGAAGATTAAGGTTTGTAAATTGGGGTTGGGAAATGCTGTTTACCCCAGAAAAAATTAGGACTTATTGGCAGGGAAAATCCAGGCTTGGAATCCTTTAACAGTTTTTTTTAAATTCCTGTGGAACGTTTAGTACAGGCATGCAGACAGCACTGCAGATATCATTTGTGCTGTCATACATGTAAAAGTCACTCCTGTCTTATTTCAAAGATATTAACTTGGGAAATGATTACAACCATTCAGCTAAATTTTTATCTTCTTCCTGGTCAGCTCTTGCAATGACATCCTTGATTTCAGCTCTCTTCTGCTCTATGGCAGCAGCTTCTTCGGGGGTTGCTGGGGGAGGCAGCAAAGCGCTGACTTCATGCTCAATACGATTAATTCTTTCTTGGATGGTGGCATGAAACTCCTCAGCGTTGGAGCAAGCAAGCTCTTGGATCTTCCTCTGAGCTTCCTGACAACCATCAAGAAGTTGTCTTTGGTGATATTTCATATCTTCTAATTGGTATTTTGGGTCCATTGCCACAATATGGTAGAGGACCCCAATACGGCCCATGATGTGGTCCTTTGAAACCTCACAATATGTGGTGGACAGCATGTTGACCAGGTGACTGATCTTGATGGCCATGTAAGCCTCTTCAAATAGCACATCACGGACAGCATGGGAAAGGGTCAAAGTGCCCACTTTTTTGTCTCCACAGCTTCCATCCACAGTGTTGGTGAACTCTTCAAGGGATACTGTTAGAGCACATTCCATTATATGGGACATCATTTTGAAGAACTCAACAAGCTTTGCCCATTGGTCCCTTATGCTTGCCAAAGCCTTCATTCCACGAAATAGAACGGATCGGATGGTTTCCAAGTCCAGCCTACGTACATCTTGCTTTGACATTTCCTGCATCAGATTCATGGCAGCCTCATTTTTTTCCTTCATATCTTTAGCCATTTTTTCATGCCGTTCTTCAGCATTCTTCAGAAGACTCATTGCCTGTTCTGTCTTAAAACGTGCAGCCTCAATGCTTGCAATCAAGACATTTTGCCCTGCTGCCAACCCACACTTTTCTTGTGCTCCAGCATGTTGTGGTGTGGTGGAAGGAATTGGGAGCGCTTGAAGCTTTTTCATTGCAAGTGTTTGAAACAACTGTGCCTCTCTTTTCATCTGTTTTACCTGTCTGTCAATTTCTTTGATCTCATTTTGATGCTGGTCCATGTCACAATTGAGTTTGGTAAGGTCCTGGGCAATTTTTTCTCCTGTCTTACATATTTCAATGGCAATACCTCTGACTCCTTCATCAGCATCAATTTCTCTCTGCACTTCTTCTATAAGGGTTTTGAATTGGAGCTCCACATACTTTGAACCTTTGTCAATGTTGTGTATATTTTCAGAGAGTTTGAGCTTAGTCTCCTGCTCACTGTCTGATTCCATTTCGATGATAAAGCTGCTAAGAATGTTAGCATAAATTAATATTTGTGAATGTTTCATGCATACATTTATATCAGCCTTTTGTCTGGCTGTTGTTTTTGGCTGGGCCTGATCAGGGGTCAAAGTAGGAAATTGGCCGGAATTAGCAATTGCTTTTGCAGTTTCCATTATCTGTGGTCCTAACTGAGTTGTTACAGTTGCTACACACCCTAACATCCCACTAAACTTGTGTGTAAGACCAGTGGTAACTGTGGATATGACAGACATTCCCAAGGTTTCCCAAGCAGAGGGCAGCCCATCCATGGCAGCTTCTATCTGCTTGTGGGCATTTTGGACATCTGCTTTCAGTTCTTGCAGGTCTTTCTGGTCATTTTGTTGTTCTTGTTTATATTTCTCCACCCTTTCTTTCAAATGTTTTATGGTAGTGAGAGTGGTAGCCACCTCCTGATCATTTTCACCCTGGGTTTTGGTGCATGCCTCCAGGATTTCAGCTGTCAGCAACATCACTCCTTCAAACTTGGACTCTGTTTCTTTTGCGAACTGAAGACACTTGTCTGCTGCCTCTTTAATCCTCGCAAGTTTACTGGGCACAATTCTTTTGATCTCATTATTTTCACCTGCTATTATGATCTTCAAGGCATTCTTTACTTCTGAAGGGAGTGTTAATGTACGGATACGAATCTGGTCCATACTGGAATTAGCCTGGTCAAATGCCTCATAGACAGCATTGGATACTTGTAATAATGACGCTCGAAAAGATGAAGGATGCTTCATGTGTTGAAAACCTTCTGTTGGGGGATTTTTAGCCAGGGAGAAGTCAGTCTCACTTGCTATTATCATCAGTTGCCCTAACAAGGCAATTGACATTGGGGCTGGAGACAGGAAATGCTCCCAGTTTGCATAAGGTCTCATTACAAGTTCCATATTGAGATTGGTGTTGCTCTCCCCTTTAGTCATAGCAATCAAACTGTCCTCAACTTTCTTTGCTGCCTGCTTGTCCTCACTGGCCTCAGCCATCTATAAAATAATCAAATTATTTGAATATTTTATGATCTAACTTGCAGATTCCAGGCCTGATTCAACAATTTTCAAGAGGGTTCTTTTTCTGAAAAAGTGTATTTTTTCCCCTGTCAGTTGACATCCCCAGTTGAAAAATAGCCTTGATAGCCTAGATCATATTTTGCATAACAATATATCTTTTCCACCAAAAGAGCACTTCTTCTGAACCCTCTGAACACCCCACCACCATGGGTTTGATGCCCAGAGGGGGATATATTTTGCCTTTGCAGTAAATGATACTTTTATATTTGACATCCTTTAAGTTTGTAATCATTGTTTTATCTAATATCTGAACTAAAGAATTGAAGTTTTGATGTATAGGAAATTTTTTTATCAAATGCAATCATTTACATGCAGATGGAGATACATTGAAATTTCTTTTTTTTTCATCTGATTCATTAAGGGTATTGTAAGGGGTACTGCATCTAATTATTCATCAATGCATCTGTCTATCTGATTTAAAACAATAAAAAAATACAATTAGAAATATAAAATATTGGCATTAATGACTGGGTTCCCATACTGAGATTGATCTAACAGGATTGATCCATCTCCGAGGTGTTTCTCGCTTAATTGCTTTCAGCTTTAGCATCCTAGAAGGCTAGCATGCCTACTGGAGTTGCTAAACAAAAAATAATTACCTCCCCCCCCAGCAGCTTCCGTAGGCGAGACAGACATCTAAGCTGCTAAAGTTTATTACAATTAAGCGAGATAGATTGATCCACGTACAATAGTCTGGGAATGGTCTCAATGTTTCTTGTTGCAATGTACAGGTATAAGCATAGTCAACTCAAAGCTTTAATCATTAATTTAACACCTTTCTGTTTTGAGGTGACATAGCAATTGGTGTGGGGCATAATTTCATCCCTGAACAATTACACCTCCCTAGAAATATTTTACCTGGTGTTAACAAACATGGATCTTCTATGGTATTAAGGATATTGTCACCCTTTGCCAAAAACTCCTTATTTACTGCATTACATACATTCTTTTGGATAACAGATAAGTCTTCAGTGTCCAGTGCTTAAATTAATTAACATTTTCATACATTTCATGTTACAGGTGACTTCATAATTGCGATTTTGGGGTAAAAATTGAAAAATCAGTTTCTCACATTTTTCCTTTACCTGAGAACCCACGAACATCATTTTAACGCCAATTTAATGACACCATTTAGTACTCCAAAACCCTGCCAGCAAATTTTCTTAAAGGCCCTTGAGAGATTATATCTTTGATAATGCAAAATGATGACTTTGTTTAATGAAAACCTGTAATTAGGGGCTTATAACTCCATAACAAAAACATTTAAACCAAAATTATGGCACGGGATTGTAGTCTATATACTTGTGATCAGCTCTGCCAATTTTCGTGATGAAATCTTGTTCAGGGGTGAAGTTTTGCCTGATACCGATTGCTATCCCACCTCAAAATAGAGAGGTGTTAAATTGACGATTAAAGCTTTGAGTTGTCTATGCTTCATTGCAACGAGAAATACAAACGCTAATATTTAATATTTTTGAGGAGACTTTTAATGTTTTAAAGCAACAGAAAGATGAGTGCATTATTGAATAATTAGAAGCAGGAAAACCTCATTTTTTGTTATTTGGATGACAATAAAGGGTTACAATACTGTTTTAAAATACTGAAACAAGTTGGGTTGTTACTCGGACGTTAAATTTTTGCAAGTGAGAAGAACCCAATACAACCGTGATTCAATCTAGAGGCTCCTCTCTGCTGTTGACCCTGAACCCGCACTACTGCTGTTACCCTCTGATATAACAGGGGCCTCGAAAATAATACAGAAAATTATAGAACAGTAGTTTTGTAACGGACTACTAACGCATCCTGTGGTCAGAAAGTCATTGCTGTTGTGTTGCCACCTCTTTTTATGACGTGCCCTAATTTAATTCGTTTTTACAGACATTATAAACCACCTGGAGGCGCACACACGCACGCACGCACGCACGCACACACACATAAAGGATATGCTAAAGCAACCTACATGTACCTGTATGTCGTTGTCGTATCAATTATATATATATATATATATATATATATATATATATATATATATATATATATATATATATATATACACACACACACACGGTGTGAACACAGACCTACAAAATAACAAATTATAGGCCTATATTGGCATAGAAGATAGCATTTACCTTAAACTCGATCGTATCTTGTCACCGTCAAAAATCTTATTTCAAATTTCAATAGCGTTCGAGTGCCTTGTGGTCGACAGTGTTGTACACTCGAGGCCGGTGTCTGCAGTCTGCATGCTGCTGTCCACACGCCCTTATATACACCTGCATCAGACGATGACAAGTATTGATTTGTAGCCTGGGATTTTTTTCGCATATATGACGACTCACAAATTTAAAGTCAGCTGCAGGGGTTTTTTTTTTCAACTGGGACTTTTGTCTGGGAAAAATTGGAAATTCCAATTCTCATTCTCCTTCGACCTATACAAGTGAATCATTCTATCCCATACACCTACATGCGACTAAGAATAGTAAGCGGGGGTTTTTTTCAGTAACGCGATGAACAGTAATGTGATGAGTCACATTGGAAATTCCCATTTTCTTTCTTTCACTTCTCCTTCAACTAATAAAATTCTTCATAGCGAATCATTCGATCTATCCCATACAGAAGATATTGATAGTCTAGCTGGAGGGTGGGGAAGGGTCCAGGAAAGAGCTGGCAAGTATTAATGTACCATAATCGTAAACATACGTGATATTAGACTTCATAATGTTATAATGTACAAAATTAAATTACAAATTGTTTTAAGTAAGGGCTATTGCTCAAGCACGCACGGGGAACTAGATGAACGGTTGCTCGAGTCTCTTTCACCCCATTCTCATAGATTAGATCGACCTACATTGGATCGACCTAACTCCCTGGGGGTTCACGCTAAATAGCTGTCAGCCAGGCGGACACGAAAGTTAATTACCCCTTAAAGCTTGTAGTAGGCGGGAACGGACACTTAAGGGGGATTATCTGACAGTAATCTAGTGAGACTCCCCGCGGTGATAGATCGATCTAAAAGTTGTGAGAACAGAGCCTATAAGTACTTAAACTTCAATGGCAAACTCCATTCGTACATTACTTTCCATTCAGAAACAATGTAAGAGCTTGATCAGGAAAATCTAAAAGCAGGCTTTAATTACCTTTAAACTCGTTCTTAAATCTCACCTCAACCCCCAAACCCACCCCCATTTAAGAAAATGTTTCCTCGAGTTTGCTCCTGTTACCGCGAGTTAATATTTTATATTATTATAAATATTTATTAGCTAAATTTAACATTTATTTTTGGGAGACAGTGATATGTATGATAGAGGTATAAACCATCGCAGCTGCACCCAATATCTTTTCGTTATCTAGACTCAAATCGTGACATATTGACATTTATTTTATGTTTTGATTAACAGCTGGGTCTTGTAATTGTTCTGATCCAATGGCTAGGTACAAAGTGATTTCGTAAAAATGTGGATTCGTTCTGTAGGAAAAATTCCCTTTGTTAACCTGATGTAAAAGCAAAGAGAAAGCGAAACGGAATTTTTGAGCAGCTAAATACAAAAAAGCCCCCAATACAGATAAAGTTTCCCCAGTGATTGATCAAAATTCCAAGTGTATTTTCGTACAATAATATTCCAGATGGTTAAACACCAGTTTGAGCACAAGCGACGGCTGTTGAACGCTGCTGTACGAGGTGAGTGTCGATTTGTCAACAAAGAATTGCCAAAACATGTCAAATTTCTTTCCAAACATGCTAAACCGGGTTATTTGTTATTATTTTCACATTCATATCCTGATATTGACTTAGACCCACTTTTAATGCCTGATGACGTTTATCCTCCAATGTGATGTGATTAAACAGACCTCGATAATCAAATGCCCTTCAGTATAGCGATGCTAAAACCGTGTTAATTGGGATATAAGCCAACTATTTAGGCTAACCACTGTGAATATTTTTGTTACTTCTCTAAATTGTGAATATAAGTACTATTGAATCTCCTTCGACATCGTTGTTGATACGTTATTAATTAGTATCATATGTTGACGTAGACACCTAACAAATCTTGCTGATATATATATAGAGAGAGAGAGAGAGGGAGATAACGGATTAAATGGCTGTATATCCCATTCTTCCCAAGACCCCTCTTCCTCCACATTGTAGTAGAAAAAATCCCCGGAGTTTATTTTGGTGACTCATCATGTCAGTCATGTGGGCGGAGAAAATCTTATAGGTACTTAAACAGCTATCGGGACAGATAGATAGGGCAGGTTGATTTTGGCAATACAAACCACTGGTGGACATTGGGTTGGGAAGTTGTCTCATAAATTGATAATTATAAAGGAAAGGTACAGTTAAAAACGGAATCGAGCGTCAATTCACGTTCTTTTTTTCATGAATTTTACCTTTTTGTATTAATTTGTCAGTATTTTCAGTCCTAACATTGAATTATTCTCCGTGGTTTATTATGCTTCTTTTTTGTTACTGTTTAATGCTAGTTCCTGATAATGGTAAACTTTTTTTTTAATTTCAAAGGGATTGTCTTTCTTGCGGTAACTCTAGATAGAAAAGTTCCACTTTTCAGGGCCCATCGTCAACCATGGACCAGCAATACGGGTGTAAAGTCGAAGACGTATTCCCCTGTTTTCTCCAAGGTCTGGAATACCTGTGTAACGTCTCCGGGCTTATCGTAGAGCCATCTTCTAGCACCGATGACATTACTTCCAACTTGGAACAAGCCCAAGTTTTTATCGAGATTTCGCTCGAAGACACTCAGGAGATCCAAAGCAAAGTCAACGAGCGTATGGAAGTCCACTTTGTTGTCTTCAACATATTACGAAAAGAGATGGAGGAAGAACTGCAGAGGATTTCCGAAAACGAACATCGACAGCAACAAATGAAAGACAACATAAGCTCAAAAGAATGTGCATCACGTGACGTTCAAGAGTTGCTCAACATTACCAGTAAAAATAAAAGTAAGGCAGAAAATAAGTTCAAAATAGCAAAGGCAGGTTCTGTAATAACAGGCATAGCCAGCGCAGTAGCCATGATAATACCTGAGGTAGGAATGCCCGTAAGAGTAGTTGGGGGGATCCTCGCTGCGAAAGCTATAACAGAGCTTGCTTTAACGATAGACCGTTGCAATAAAATGGAGAGGGAATTTAGGAGTCAGGTAAACTCCTATAAAGAGAGTCTGCGCAATATCAAAAACGACCTTTCTTTACTGGAAAAAGATTTAAGACACCTGAAAGGACAACATCACCAACTGCTGAAAGAATTTCGTAAAATCGAACATGAAAATGAAGCACTTCATCAAACTCTGCTCCAGGCCACAAATCTCATCCAGGTAATACACGGCTGCTCCGAGTTCCTTGGTTTACTGCTCGGCCGTTTGTCTGTGGCCTCCTCCACCGTCGGCTGCCTTACCGAGGGGGACATAGAGACATTTCTGATAACGCTCACAGAACTCGCTAACCTTCTGGAGGGCAGAGATGGAAGTTCTTACACCAGAGTAATGCAGACAATAAGCGCTGTGAAATTGACGGGCCAGAAACTACGAAAAGCAACCGAGGCGAGAACAGCTCTTGAGGGAGAAAAACGAGACTATTTGGGATACATATAGGACATTGTTATATGATGATTTGAACTTGACCTTTTCATTATTATTACATATGGCAACTCATTCATTTAGATGTGTAGGCCCTAATACTCTATATTTATTGAGATATTTATACATGCGCATATCAGCTCTCCAAAAACGTAAAATGAATTGAATTAAAATTTTCTTTACAAAGACATATCATTGAATAAAATTATTTGCCCCTTTAGCAAATAAAATTATCGCCGTACATGAGCGCCATCCTATGTGTATTTTAGTATACTACTTTCAAAATACATTTACATTGTAACAGCCTGTAAGGAAGGTCAAGATTGTGTTGTGTATTAATGTACGAAATTTTACCCACCCGATAAAATACATCTGTAGACGCACAATATATACAAAGTAAGAAAAAGATGTTTTTATTTGCAATTTTCATACATGAAAAATTTTTAAAATTTTTTCTAAAATGCAACGTTATTTTTCTAAAGAAGATAAATGTACAGGTAGGAGTCGGGACCCAGCAAACAACTAAAGCAGAACAATAATTCTTTCTGTTCGAAGTCGCGTCTAAAGGCAGAAGGCCGCGCGCTCTTTTGTCCTGTTAGATTGATGGACCCTCGATTATATGCAGTAATGACAATGGAAAAATATGCTGACACAAAATATAAAATGCATGCAGATAATAAAACAAAATATCAAGCTATCCATACAGTACTGTGATAATTCTGTTCATTTAATCATTATGTAGCACGTAATGGTGCTGCCATTCGTAAGGACTTCTCAAAAGATTTAAAGATACAAAAAAGATGAATTTATTAAATGAAAATAGTTTAAGTTGGACTCTAAAACATGTCTTTAAGGAGAACTGTCCGCGTTGTACTGGCAGAGGTAGTTCTGTGGTGCTCTAGAACCTGATTCAAGGAGTTAAACTTCTTCCCCCAAATGGAATATCTTCCCGTGTTATCTGAGAGCACTTTAAACTGTTGGACAGACTCACCCAATCTGCAAAAAGATAAAAACAAAAACAAACAAACAAACAAAAAAAAAAAAAGATTAAACAGCGAGTGTATTACAGGCAAATTCTCTCAATGCCAAGAACGTGCACAATGTAGCTCCCCAAAGATACTGGTTCTGCGCGTGATGCCGAATGCTTTTTTTACACATTTTTCTTGCGATTCTCATACCAGAGCGTTTATGGGAAAATATTTGACAGAGTGCAGAGCAAAGGATACAAAGAGCGTTGACCGTTTCCTGCTGTGTATAAATGTGAGCAGATATATTCTTAATAATAAGAGAATCTAGAAACAAAACATAAAATGCTCATGCTTGACTGTATGATACAGTGTACCTTGTTAATGCTAATTCATTGATTTAGAAATACTATTTGAATTTGATGGCATATCAAACAAACGATTTATGATGCTGTATACTAACTTGACTAAAACAGAGAATTTCCCTTCAGAACTTTCATCATGTCTTACTAAGAAAGCACCATCTGGTTGAGAATAGGTTCCATCTGCTTTTCTTTCAAGTAAAATTTCTTCTGCTTTTTCACGATTTATTGGACCAAAAAACCAGCTGTAATTAGAAAGATTGTGAATATAATTAAAATTGACAAAAGGGGCATTTTTTTCCTTATAAAATGTTGAAACGTGTAAGTTGATTATCAATCTTTAATTAAATTTCAAGTACAATCTAAGCCCGACGTCAAATTATTTAACCGTGTGATTTGTTAATAAAAAGTTGAATAGAAGAAACTATTGCACCCTTCTACACTTTACGAAATGCATCGTTAGACAGAAAGATTCTTTTATGTCGTAATATCATTAACTTAAAAAAGCACTCGGAGAGCACACCTCTGTTAGTGCAGTTCAATTCTAATTTCCAATTAATTAAATAGTTGATTAATTAAATAACTGAGTACCACTCAAATGATTTCAAGTTGGCCTATTTCTGACCCATCCTGAATATTTAATCAATATCCATCCACAACCTTTTGAGTTAGGCTGTTGACTAACAAACTTACAGTACAAAGCCAAAAGTATAACCCCCTTGACAGAGGTAAGTGTAATAATAATCAACAAATGCAATAGTGGTTTCTGTGAACCCTCGTATGTTTCGTATGTTGCGAAATGGAGGTTGCAGGGAATGAATTTATCATTTTAACCTTTTCCCTTTAGCTAGCCTTTAAACCTCAATGCAGTCATCGACTCCAACCCAAAACACGCATAATATTGAAAAGAGCAATGCAACACTTACTCGTAATCTCTCATTTCAACTGAAGTGCTGGGGACAATTCCTACTTTTCCGTTTAATTCTGCTTTATACCAGTATTGCTCATTCATACATAATATCTGAAATGTTATTAATTTGCTTTGAATAAGTTGCTTTTTATCATGCATTTTCAAAAGTGAACGATGGGTTTACGAACAAAGGCGCGTTAAGGGATCTTGGATATTAACGAAAAAGTCCAAAACTAATGCAGCTAATGAAATTTCCTATTAACTTAAAGAAAAAAAGGGGCTCATTCCAAGTTCTAAACAAACATAGGCCTATTTCATATTACACATTTTTATTTGCAAAATATACCGTATTGCATTTTAAAAATCCTCTTTCACAGTGAAGAATTTCCCTCCACAAAAAAACCCTTTACCGAATTCTGCAATGTCAGTTTACGCAGACATTCATACGGTACGCTGCTTTGATTTCTGACACGAAGAGAAATGTTATTAGCCACCGAGCTCTCAGTGGTTGCATAGTGCCTCTGCCTTGCAAATGTCCTTCGTCACCAGCATTTAATGTAACACTGATCAAGAAATGCTGATTTTGATTGGCACCTAGCAAAACGAGCATCATTCTTTTCTTTTCATTGTACCGAACTCCATCCATATCTTATCTTTTATCCTAATAGATAGTAATATCGCATGTACACACGATCAAACCAAGGGATTATATCTCTCGTATGCTTACCTCCTTGATCAATACTAGGACTTACCTTAAGTACATCATTCTTTTTAAATGCAAGCTCGTCTTCTGCTGTCGCATCGACATCATGTATAGCAACGGCCTCCATACATATATTTCAATGATATATAATTTTGGTATATCTAGAATGTGCCTACTTGTCTTTTCGTTGCAGACTCTATTTTAACTAACGCATTTAAAATTCGTTCCAAGACCAGCAGATTCCTTAGGAGATTCTCAACTTAGACCCTCGGAAATGGAAAATAGTGAATTAGTGCATGTCATTCCAATGAAATATTTATTGTTGTTGATTCTGGCAATTTGTTCTGTGAACTCCAACCGAAGATTTATGTGCTGTCAATAGCGACTAGAGTTTATTGATTGTCAGTAAGTCTGACTAAGTCAATACCATAGGTGTAATTTTTTCCCCACCTTGCAGTATTTCAAAATCATATGGACCATATGCGTGCCCCCCTCCCCCACAACTTGTAGAGGACGGTTGCCGTGGCCGTGGAGCAGATATGTGCAATGCATGTATGTGAATACCTTTGGGTGGCGTGTCAATTAAATAAGCATTTGTTTAATAGGTATAGGCCTACCGTTAAATCGTAATAATCATGTGAACTTTCAGGTTTACCTAAACAAACAGCACCGGTGTTTTTTTTGTGATTACAGAGACGACCTTTTGTAATTTTTTAATTAATAATAAAATAATATCAATGTCTCATTAAAAAGAGTCAACAAATAATCATAACAAGGCCGAAAAGCTGTCAAATATACAGACAAGAAGCAGAAAAAATACAGAAAAAGTGACGAGCTTCAGGTGAATGGGAGTTGAAATGCCAGTGTTTGAAAAAAAATTAAAAAATAATAAAAAATATAACAAAAATATTCCAATAAATAAGCTGCTATTCAAACTTTTAATCTTGTTGTATTAACATGATATGAATAACCCCAATGTGTTTGAGGATAATAAGGCACTGTTATTCATCTATAGCATTAATGTTGGCGTTACGCAATTTTTTTTCTTCTGTAAACTTATTTGCAATATTAAACAACATTTTCCTGCATAATTATCACCGATTCCTAGTTATAGTCTAGTGAGATTTTTGAAAAAAGGGCTCTGCATAAGAAGCAAGGGGTATTTTGGGGTAAGAGTTAGGAACCAGGCTTATTGGCATAATTTTGGGATGCTTAATCCGATTAACCCGGTTCCCAAGCGAAATTTTGCGTTTTTAACGGTCTAATTTGCAAAAAAACAAAATGGCTGCCAGATTTCCAAATTTTCGCAATATCTCTGGAACTAGACAGGCGAATATGACAAATGAAGTGTCTTTACCTATATTTTCAGGGTCGAGGAACATTATTAAGATGTTTCTGTTAGAATTAGATTTACACAATTTTCCTAAATATGCAAATTAGGATCGCCATTACTGAAAAACCATTTTACTTCTGTATCTCTGTAACTAGGCAAGCAAACATGACAAATGAAGTGTCTACACCAATGTTCTCAGGGTCAGGGAATGTGATAAATCAGATGTCTTGTCTGATGGGTAGCACTGACTTTGTGAATCGTGGCCAAGTAGCACCTTTTATTTTTTTCCTCCCTGTATCTGTCAAACACAAGTCAAACTACTGATTAGAGCCTGCCTTCAGAACTGCTCTTACGTTCGTGTCAGCCAAACTACCAAAGGTCACAGCATTGTCAGGCTTTCCCAGTGAAATTGCCAGTACTTGCCCATCAATTATAAGACAAGGTGAGCAGAGGTGGATCCAGGATTATTTGAAGGGGGGGTTCGATGCAAAGCGAACCCCCCCCCCAACTTGGCAATGGGTTAGGGGCCTGATGAAAGGCCCGAAAAAATTTGGTATTTAAGAGGGAGAACGGTGCCATTTGGTATGGTTTACAACTATGATTCAGCTAGGCAAAATTATAATTTTGTTGTGCACCCAGCTGATCCAATAAAACGAACAAGATTCTCATTCAACGCAAGTAGAAATTAAATAATATCTTTTGGAAATATACAGAGGTTTCTTCTACATTGTAACTGTCAGTCCAAAATGTATAATGATATCGCGAGAGCCAAAATACGATATGATATCACCTTAAAACAGGGCAGCCTTTATAGATCATTCAGGAATTTTAATAACCAGGTAGAAATAACACTTGACTGAAGGCAGTCCCTTTGACCAGGGAATTGCTTTGACTCAGGCTCTACCCCAACTCAGTCACCGTGTTTCCTGGATCACCATAATCAGCCCTAGCCTTCAAAGGCATTTCTGAGTTTTATCTTGTGCCAAGTGCCCTGGTCGCGATCATTCCCGAATGTCTATTGTCTGCCCCCTTCTAAGCTTATCTTTGGATATGAATATTATATTAATTTAATTATTCGTAGCTCGCCAATTGTTAAGTCCCAGACTTAAGTCCCAGTTAGGATAGTGTCACGTTAGATAATGCGCTGGTTCTTGGGCCTTAGTGTTGTGCGCCCAGCTGGCCAATAAAACGAACAAGATTCTCATTTGACACAAGTAGAAATTTAATAACATCTTTTTGGAAATACCTTCTTCTAGCTGACAGTCCAAAATGTATCATATGAGTATGGTGGAAACAAGAGGAGGCATATCAATCCGTTTAGCTGATTGCACTTAGCGAGAGTCCCCGCAGAGCTGGGTTGATCCACATGGACTGATGGTGTGTCTATAGGAATGGGGTCTTACATACATGACAAACCAAAACTACAAAACAGTTTAACTTATTTGTTACGTCTTCTTGTATTGGGCATTGCAAGTCATACATAATAATCACTAAACAGGATTTGGACTGAGGTTCCTTGGGTCCCATGGCTCAAGTTGCATCCATGCTGCCATATGGGCCAATGTCACTGCATGAGACTGTAATGTGGGAATGTAATGATATTTTATATCTTTTTTCCCCACCTACTGGATAGGCCACCCATGCCCTTATGTGCTTGCTGAAGAGGATCAGGCCTACCCAACTACCAGACTCNGAGCGTGGATGAGCCCGCAGTCGTGCTACAAAATTTGTTCTGGTGTATGATACTCCGAAATGCGATCTGACACACACCTTGAAAACGGGTAGCGTGGTCCGATATATCGGTTAATTCAGGATCCTTAGGTGCCGAGTCTGGTAGTTGGGTAGGCCTGAGGATCAAATCATCTAGCTAATTATAACTCAAACTTCAGAATGAAAACATTTGTTTTAATTCTTCCTTTGCTCTTAGATTATGCTTTTATATTTTCAAGAAACATGGGAACATCTCAATTAAAACATTTTAGTACGTAACACTTGACAGTATTTCAGAAAAGAAGTGAACAGCCATTTCTCAATACATCAGACTGTATCAAATTGCAATGAATACTGTACATTTTTTTATTTGCATCATAAAGAAATCATGCAATCATGATCTGAAATCCCTTTCAGAATGAACACTACCTGAATGTACCAGCCACTTAAATTGTTGCCTGCCTATCCTTGTGCTCTTGGTAGTGTATCACAACCAGATAGCTTCTACAGTAGTTCTGTAGCCAAGTGGTTTAAACAAGTTCCGTTTTGAACAATACATCAAAACATGTGAATTGATGTTTTCATTAGATCCTGTGTCTGCAATAAAATTGAAAATGCCTCTTACTACATTTGTATAGATTTAACTTTATATAGTGATTTTTATAAATCAAGGTTCTGCCATTTTCCTACCCTAGTCGTTTAACAATGATTCTTAGCATAAATTAGAACATACCTGAATATATAGGTACAGTATTCATCACAGTATTAACAGAGTCTACTTATAAGACAAAACAGCACACAGCTAAGAAAACACAAATAGAACTTTCTTTAAAAAAAAAAGCTTCCCATCTTGTCATCTTGTTAAGATAACAGCAGCTAGTCCTTAAACATTTTCTTAAACAAGTTTTGGGTCTGGAGAAGTTCATTGTGATGAGGCAAAAACTACATTTGGATCCTCTATAATATGCTAATGTTGCTACAAGTATATTACCTGTGTTAATAACCTGAGATAAGTTGTTTTGAAACCTCTTGTTAAGAACAGTTTCTACCAGTGCCGGAACTGAATGTGACCCAGGTTCTAGCCATGGTTTGTTCCTCTCAGCCTCTGGTGGGATAGGTTCATGCTGACATTGTGCTTCCCCTGACCATCTCTAAAAACGATTCATGTTCATTTTGAATGTGATGGTAGAACACCA